CTAAATATCAAAGGTTAATTACGTGTAGGTTGTGTAATGAAGGACTTTTAGTTAGTTTTTTGATACATGGTAAGTCAATGGTAAGAGTTTTTTGGTAAAAACCTGGAATTTTTTTGAAAAAATTTTCAAAAAAACTTCAAAACACGATAAGATTACCTATTATTTGACCTAATTTATTAAATAATCTTACTTTCTATCTAATTGAAACAATGCTGAAACCTACTGAAACTTTGAAAAAACTCAAGGTTTTTGGAAAAAAATTACAAAAACTTCAAGTTTTTGGAAAAAAGTGCAAAATTTGAAGTTTTTGGAAAAAATTTGCAAAATCTTATAGATTTGGTTAATTTTTTCGTTGATTCTGATCTAGTTGAAACAATATACGTACGTACAGAGTTTGAAATTGAGTTCAAATTGTATTTTGAATGGCATCATAATGAGACAATGATACGAAAACGTAAATAAATTTTCGATTTTTCCAAAAATTTAATCAAAATTTTGAAATACGATAAGTTTTAGCATTATTCGAGCTAGAAAGTGGGTTGAATAAAGCTCTCAACATTAACAAGAAAGCTCAAAACGGCTGAGTCAATATTAAAACTTCTCATATTTCAAAATTATTTATGGGAAAATAGTGAAATTAATCGTAATTTTTGAGAAAGTATAGTAAAAAATAATGGAATCTGTCAAAAATTTTCCATTTTTAACCTTTTTTTGGTGATTAATTGATTTTTCATTCAATTCAGGGTGAATTGAAATATGACTCTCAAATTCAATTGAACATTAAGAGCAAAATTCTACGAAGTTTCTAGATCAAACTCCATGATTTAACTCCTCAGTTTTTTCTCAATGATTAACTCAATTTTGTACAAAAATTACAACTTCTGAGTATTTTTTCACCCTAATAATAATGAATTTCAGATCAATGATGGAAAATGAACAGTTAATTGCTAAAATTGACTGAAAAATTTGATATATTTTTCTTAAAAGTTTCTTCGATATTGGTTCAAATTCAAAAAAATCGTCTTCATAACTGATGATTATCTCTCTGTTGCTTCTGCAACATAATTTTCATGATTTTCCCAAGAAACGTTCTATGTTTTTTATGGTTATTCTTGCTTTCTGCTTAATGCATGTTTTCGCCATGAACACACTTTGCAAGAAAATTTAGTCAGAACTGGAGAATTTAGGAGGAAAATAGTATCAATTGAACAAACAGTTTGCTGGCAGAGATGAAATTAGAACTGATACCGTCTGGTTATTACGATAAAAATTGTACATGTCTTCCTCAAGGTTTCTTTGTTTAGTTGCTACAGTAAACTATTTAAGCAAAAATACAATGTTTGGCATCAATAACTGTCTCTTTTCTGGAAAAATAGTTATTTTATCATGATTTTCCGTAGTAATGTTCTATGTTTTAAGGTTATTCTTGCTTTCCGCTTAATGCATATTTTCGTCACTAAACACCTTTTGCAAGAGAATTTAATCAGAATTGGAGAATATAGGAGGAATATAATATCAATTAAACGAACAATTTGCTGGCAGATATGAAATTAGAACTGATACCGTCTGATTATTTTTGATAGAAATTGTAAATGTCTTCCTCAAGGTTCCCTTGTTCAGTTGCTACCATAAACTATTTAAGAAAAAATACAATTTTTGCGATCAGTAACTATCACTTTTCTTGCAAAATGTTTTTTTAACAATAGTTTTTTATTCCTTATTTATAACGGAAATTTTCTCAAAAATACCCCAGTGAGAAAAAATCGGTGCTAGTTAAAGCATTCAAAAACAAATGTAAAAAATGAGAATAAAAAGTTCATCTTTACGATTTAGGAACAAATTGGGAGCAACTCTATTAGTTATAATCTGAAAATCTTCGGAATTACGCAAGGGAACCTAATCCTAACATCTACAATATAAAAACTTCTAAAAGAGCGAGTCTCAAAAAATTGATTTAGCAAAGCAAATCAAGGTGCACACTGGAACAATTGTGTAATTTTCCAATTTTTTTTAAGAAAAAAACTCTATTTAGTAAAAATGTAGTAATGTATTGTATAAAGTGTTGTATTTTGTATGTAGTATTGCTTATGTATGTAGTTTTGTGTATTGTATGTAGCAAGGAGGAAATGTAGATCTAGAAAGCAAGTTTTTTTATATTATACTTTATGTATCTTCTTCCAAAAGATGTCGAATTGGGTTTGCTTCACAAAAATTATCCTCAAAACATTTGATCTTTTATATAAAGTACCTAATATATCAAATGATAACAATTTTTTTCAATGAATTACGCATAAATATAAGACTTTGAGAATTTTTATGTCGGATTTTTTCTCAAGATATACTTTATAAGCTAAATTTTAGTAAAATTATCTCAAAACTCCTAAGGAATAAATTGAATTTCTATCTCATTTTAGAATTTTCTCAGTTTCTGATTCATCTTCTATCTACCAAATGAATCCAATTTGACCAAATTTTTGCTTGAAAAGTGAATTTTAGATGGAAAAATGTATCGTTTCAACGAACGTTCAAAAATCCGAAGCTGAATTAATACCATAAATCCTTTACTAAAAGCCCTTAAAAGATTTTCTGAGCCCCATAACGGTATAATGCTGTTTTAAATCTGAATTTTTATTTTAGACTAAATTTTTAGTTGAAATGATGTATATCATTATCTTGAAACTTTCAAAGTTTAGCAAAACATACATTTTTTCCGGGTCATTTATCAATTTTTTTTCTGAAATCATCAAAAAAAACAATAGAAAAACATAATTTTTAATAAGTCAAACCACATTATCTGCTTAAAAAGCTCTACTCTATGGACACTTTTACAAGCACTAAACAAGGAAAACTTTAAAATAGTAACTACAAAAAACCTTTCAATTAGTTGATGTTTTCCAAAAATCCAAGTTTTACAATTTTTATACGAATTCTTAAATACTCATTAGCATATGTTATGTTTTACTACAAATTTATCACAACAAAGTCTCCGCAAGCTTGCAACCAAGGGAGTTTTTACTGTTGATTAAAGGTTTTCGGATCGAGTTCTATGGAAAGTTTCATGACAATTTGAACTCAATTTTTGCTGTCTTTAACATCAATCAAAACTTTTGAATAAAAAAATAAATGACAGTTCAGGTAATGTAATGAAAACACTGTATAATTTCTGACTAGGTTTGTTGCCATTGCTGAGACTTTCAAGATTCAGTAAAAACTAATAATCATAGTAATTTCTATGTTTTTTTTAAAAAAGTTAAAAATTTTACCTTCTCCTGAAGTGTGTTTGGAGACTGCTGAGCACATAATTCAACACTATGCTGAAAATGCTTCTTCTTGAGATGATTAGCGAGTTCCTCGCTGCTATAAGTATAAAAATTACAGTTAGAACACTTCAAAACACCACATGTTCTACGATGTCTTGATGCATCTTTGTGAGTGTATTCCCTGCCACATTCAAGACATGCAACTCTTTCGTTTCTTTTCAGTGACGGTATCTCAATAGTAAAAAAAATTAAATGGGAGATTTAAAATGTACCAGATTTTAGATGAGATGAGTTGAAAAAATGAATAAAATCAAATAAAAACAGCAAACTTATTAACCAATTGTTTTTAACGTGATTTAGCCTAGCTGAAATAAAAATCGTCCAATCTAACCATGGAGTTTTTAAAAGTATCAACCAATTAGAATCGAGCCTTAATTACAAGGAAATTTTTATCTTTTCCGATATCAACCAATCAGAATCGAGCTTTAATAGTCATGTAATTTTCAACAAATTCAATGTCAACCAATCAGAATTGAGCTTCAAAAGTCATGTAATTTTCAACAAATTCATTTCAACCAATCAGAATTGAGCTTCAAAAGTCATGAAAGTTTCAAGAAATTTAATGTCAACCAAACAGAATTGAGCTCTTCTTCTCATGAATTTTTCAACAATTTCTTTAAAAGTTGTAGATTTTGAGGATACTTTCACAGGCATTATTTGTGTTAATAACCAATCAGAATGAAGTATTCACAGATTTTAAAAAATTTGTAGATCAGAACCAGACTGTTTATGAAACTTCTCAATCAAAAAATTTTATTGAATTTTTCCAACATAACTAAGATTTCAACTTTGATACTTTAGTGGGATAAATGAAATATCTTGTCTGGTTTATATTGTTTTTTCGATATTCAATTCAAATTTTGAAATTTCGATCAAAATTTTTTCGATTTGTTCTATTTCTAAGCAGTGAAAAAAGAAATTACTAAAATATACGTTCTTATCGTTTTTGTTTTGGTATATTGTAGTATAAACAACCGGAAGTCTAGTAAATTTGGATAAACGATCAAAAGATATTCTGACAAATCTGGATTTTGTATTTGTATCAAATTCAAAACAGTAATCGAATTGATGTTCCTTATCTCCAATTTTTGTTGCATAGGCTCTTCCCATGTTTTGTTTTTTACTGATAGACCACTCAGTCTGCGTTAACTCTTCTAAATAAAAACATTGTTGATAAATCTGACAGTGCTCTTCTTTTTTGTAATCTCCTCTCCATCTTTTTAACAAAACTATTGAACTTTCTGTGTTTCTATACAAGTTAAAACTAATACAATCTCCATCAACTTCATCTGTCCACCACTCTTGTAGTTTTTTGTAGTAGTTCAATCTTAACATCTGATTAATTTTCATTTCAAAAATTGAAAACGGGTTTGATAGAAACATTCTTCTGACTAAAATAAACGAAGAATTTTAAAAAACTCGAATTGTTTTATCATTTTTAAGGTATTTTGTAATAAAAATCACCATAAATCATTTTTCCTTATTTAGAATCTAAATAGTTTTAAGAAAATTCATGTAGCCAATCAAAACCTCAAATTAAGGCAGAAAAAATTGAAAACAACCAATGAAATTCAAAAAGTCTAAAAAAATAATTATAATGTTTTCAACTAAATATACATTCTTGTTTGTAATTTTCTTAAATTGAGGCAAAAATTAGCTAAATTTTGATGAAAACACTTATTAAATAAATTTATCTGTACTTTCATAAACAAATACTGGAAAATCATTTGATAATTGGTTAGTGTTTTATAACAATTTCGATTAAATTGTATGTTTTGTCTGACTTTTCCTCAGATATTATAGCTCTGAAAATACACTTTAGTGAGAAAAAATAGTTTTGAACCAATCATATCTCAATTACCAAACATGCAAAACATCACAAAGCTTTACTGAGGTTTACAATTATCAACAAACATAATGTCTCCCAATATTTGGGACAGTTTTTTGAATTCATTCAAAGTATAGTTGACATATGCATTTTGCTTCAAGTCTTCATTTTCCTTTGCAGTGAAGAGTCGAGTCTGAATGTAGGATGGCATGCTCACGTTGTACTTATTGATTGTGACACACACCCTCCTCATGTTGTACGTTGCTATTTCATATACTCTATTACAGATGTCGAGCTCCTGATCCATAGTTGATTCTCTGCCAGATTTGGCTTCATATATAGGTACGAGTCCAAGATATTCAGCATCGTGAATATAAGTAGTCCGTATTGCGGATATTGCTTTGCCTTCATTTTCACTAAGATAGACTTGTTGAAACTTTTCAAATTGTCCCAAATAATTTATTTTTAATTGTTGAAAGCACGGTTCCAAGCATATTTTCCCCTTGTAGGATTTTTGGAACCAAACAAATCTCCCAATTCTTTTTTGATTTTTTGAAAATTCAATATAGTTGGGACTATCAGCTTTTCTCGAGTACATTTTGAAGAACAAACTGATTTGATGAGGAGAAATGAGAGAAATGATTTTGAGATTGAACGAAAATGGAAGTAAGCGGTATGAGTCATCGCGATTTCCATATATGAAAGTAGTACCAAATAATGAAGGATTTCCCTAAATGGAAACTGCGTAGGCGTTACTACTACTATATAACTCCACAATTTTTTGCAAAAAATCATTTTTCTCAATGGCAGCTGCTATGTGTCAAGCTCTTCCCAGCTTTTATTCAGATTGTAATAGTAAATCATTGTTTATTTCTGTTTCCAACGAATTTTAACGAAAAATACAAAAAAACCCAAGATTTTTGCGTGTCTACTCATGATTCTTTTTGTTCCTTGGGAAATTGCAAATTTCATATAATTTTAATTGGAACATCTCTTAGCCAAATTCTTCAGAGAATAGACAAATATCAATACATACATCAAGAAATTGATTGTCTTTAAACTTTGTACAAGCACAGATTCTTTTCGAGTTTTGTCACATCAAGTGGGGAAGTCTTCAATCAGCTTAGTTGTGGAGTTCAGCATAATTTACGATGAAAATGAGCAGAAAAAACACCAAGCGTATCAAGGAAACGACTTGTTTTGCAAAAAGTTCAAAAAACATTATCTAAGTTCTAATCAAAAACTTGCATCTACGCAAACTCTTGGCTCAGAATTTTTAGACAGAATTCGAAAAGTACAAAACTCAAAATATGAAGCTGATTTGTTCAGAATAATTGATTGTTTTATTAATGGTTATGGTTCTGTAAATAATGAGCGTGTCAATCTTTCTATTAATTTTTGATTATTTCTTCATAAAAATCTAGTCAAGGTTAATTAAATTTCAATTCAACTGCTTTTCAACAATTAAATGTGTGTTATTTTTTTACAAGATGCAAAAAAATCAATCGTTTTACAACAAATATGCGTATTACAGAAAGTTTTTGCAGAACGCAAATTTTTTCATATTTTTAAATGTATACATTTGCAAAACTTAACTTCTTTTTTCTTATTGTCTAGAAATTATCAATTTTGATGACTTCGAGTGCTTTTCCGTATCTTAATACACTGTTATTCTGATGTTTTTGATTTAGATACGTGCAAAAACAGATTTTTCACTAATCAAACTTAAAACAAAGAAATTCTTAAACATTAATTTTTAGCATTGCAAGAAAATCTTGTTACGGTTTTCTTTAAAATGCGAAAAAATACATTGAAAATTTTCTTAATTTGCTAGATATTTTTTGATTTTGTAACAAACATGCAAAAAATTTATGAAAATTTTTGCATGTTGCAAAATTTGTAAAGTTTTTTTTAAATATGCAAAACTTTTCGAGAAAATTTTTTGCACGCTATTTTTTTCATGGATTTTCAAAAAATATATGCAAAAACCAAAATTCTTTTTTCTTATGCAAATGCGAAAATTGCAAAAATTTATTGTAAAAAACTTAAATTAATGCCAAAATTTTTTCTTAATTGATCACTTTGATTGCTATTCCCTATCTTAATACCCTTGTTTTTCCGATATTTTTGATCAATCTACATGCAAAAAAGAGATTTCTTTATGATCAAAATTAAAGCAAAGATTTTCATTTACTTTAATTATTAACAGTGCAAGAGAACCCTCTTTTTTTTTATTTAAAATGCGAAAATTTTTATTGAAATTTTTCTTAATTTGCGAGATTTTCTTTGATTTTTTTAACAAGTGTGCAAAAAAATTATGAAAATTTTTGCATGGTGAAAAAATTAATGTAAAGTTTTTAACATGCTTGCAAAATTGGTTTAATTTTTTGTCATCTTTCTTACAAAATAATATAAAATTATTTACCAGATGTATAATTAGTTTCATTTTTAACAAAGTTTTACCAATGATATTTCTTTATAAACTTTTCTATAATCTCTTTGTTACTATCTCTTGAAAATAAATTGACTAGATGCAAATAAATTAAATTACAAAACACAAGACAATAACGATTTTATTTACAAATCAAAGAGCTGTCGAGCAGCTGAGTTCTCAAAATTTTGCAACTTCTCAATGGAGCGCAAAACTGGTCTTGCCTCCATCACTGGTGGTTGTCTTGGTGGTTCGCTGACCGGAGTTCTTGGCTCAGATAACCCCTCATCCTCTTCGATGGTAATTGGGTTGTCCACAGGTCACTCTTCCCAAGGAAAGAGGAAATCGTCGAATGGTTGAGCCACTTATCTAGAGTCAGGAATTTCGGGGTAGTTCATTCCCACATGCCCGGCCACTTCCTCCATCATTTGCATTTCTCCAAAATGATTCTCTGTAGGGGGTACGTGCGTTATATGATGTACGTTGAAATCCCTGCAAATCATCTCCACCATATGCCAGACTTGGATTGGGATGTCCATTCGTGCCAGAAAAACTCCACAAACTGTTTCTCGCACTTGGATTTGTACTAAATCAGCCGAAAATTCCACCGAGAACATAAGGTTGTTGTTTTGTACTGAGAAGACCATTTTGAGCATTAAGTTGAGTTAATGAGTAAAAACAAGATTTACAGTTGAGAGGGAGAAAGTTGACGGTGATTAAGTTGAAATTAATGTATTTAGAGCTGAGAAAGGAGGAAGTTGACGGTAAGTAAGTTGAAAATAAAATGATTTTCAGTTACGAGAGAGGGGTACCTTCAACTGGAATGTGTGGGTTTAATCAATCAGAATAGATGTTCCTTATTTGGATTGTTGTCGTGTCCAATCAGATTTTAGTTTCCTTTTATGGAATTCTTATAGAAAACTTGTGTCCAATTGGAAACAAAGCTCCATTTTACACATTGTCGTTTCCAATCACAAAAATATTCATTTTTCTTCAAGTTGTCGTATCCAATCAGAGAAAAAATGTTTTACCTTTTAAGGACTTAAGTCTTCCAAATCAGTAAAAATATACACAAAAGCAATTGCAGAAATAAATGACCAAAAGTTGTTTGAAGTAATAAGAAATATTGCCGATATAAGTAACAAAAGAAGGAAAATAAATAAAAGAAGCATCTCTACAATTTTTTTCAACAAGTTAATTGAATTTTTTGAATGTGCTCAATGAGAAATAGCTGATTTTTGAGTAGATAGTCAAGTTCTTTGATTTTGATGTAGATTTGAGACGATAACTCAAAGTTGATGAATTTTTCAAAGCAAATCTCTGGATATCTTATTCCAAACCTGATCATGCAAGATTTTGAACTTTGAAAATCTTGACAGAAATGGAGGAATAAAGAACTTTGCTGGGGAGTTTTGACAAATTTGGGAGTTGGGTAGGGAATAAAAAGAGTCTTTGAAATATTATCGAACGACTTTTTTATTAACTTGAAGTTTTCTAAAATAAATAAAATTTCTTTTCTAGTCAGTTGTAACTCAGCAGTAAGTTTATAACTGTGATACGCAATATGTGGATCAAAAATAAACTCTTTGATTGAGTAAGTTTCCATAAAGAGACCTTTACTTAGTCGAAGAACTCTATTTTGGACAACATAAACGTCCAAAAAATTGTGAAAAAAGTAAGAATCTACATCTATTTCATCAATAAGGAAGTCACACGGAATTTTTTCTTTTTTCTTGTGAACTAATTCGAGGAAGTTCAAATGTTTTTTAATTGACATTCTTCAAAAATGAATATTTTGGATCCAAAGTTATGTCTAGAAACTGCTTAGTTCTGATTGGTTGAAAATTTTTCTGTAAAATTCTAGAAATTTCGAAGGAATGACGACATTACCGTAAAAGGAATGTTGCGTGGGTGGAGACGTCACTTCTATTCAAAGAATGACATCATTACCGTAAAAGGATAATTGTGTAGGCGTCATTGTTAGTATAAATACGCTTATTTTTTTGGGTTAAATCATTCATTTTGTTTGCCAATCAGAAACAGTTAATTGAATTTTATTTCAAATTTTACATTTTGTTAATTCAACAAAAGAAGAAAGTAAGTATTTTCATTCAATTGGTACTTTAAATATTTAAGTTTGAAACATTTCTAAAGTCCCAAATTTTTTAGATAATGCCTGCCCTTAACCGAAACGAGAAAGTCAAATGTGAGGACTGTGGTCGGGAATACAGATGGACTGATGCTGCTAGACATCGAAAAAATTGTTCTTGAGGAGTTATTTCTTGCCTTGATTGTAATTATTTTACTTATAACTAGCACGAAATGAACTATCATATGGCCAAGAAGCATGCTCAACCAAGTTCGAAGCAGTCGACGGTTTTTCCTTCTTGTGAACAAGAGATTCCAAGTTACTACTCTCTCCAACAA